CTTACTGCCGCGATCCTTTAATACGGTCTCTTGTGTTGTGGACACACCCCAACCATAAAATTATTTTCATTGATACCTCATAACTGTAATTTTGCTACTGTTATGAATCAAGTGACTCCCGTGAAAGGATTATTTAACCCCCAAAGGGGTCACGACCAACTGGCGAGAATCTAAAAGCTGTCCCAAGTTGAAGCACAGTGACCACTCTCAGCATTCAACAGAGTCTGGTGTGGTCCCTGAGCAAGTCTGGGTTTGGAACTCAATAAACCTTTCTAAACTGATCTCGGATTCTGTTCAATTTGTTTTTCCAATCACCTGCAATTAACAGGATGCTAACAAATGATTGGGGGGAAGCTAGGGGACCAGATTTTAGGTTATGGGTAGACACTATGAAAACATTTGTACCCAAACCTCAGTGAATCACGCATGTACTGAGCATGACAATGATCTTGGACACTGACCTGGCAGGCAGCATGGCAGAACCCTGGGTCTAAACCGAGCCCAGCCTCGAAGATACCTGCAACCTTGGACTGAGGATTCAGGAACTTGGATGAGAAAGGAAGTTGAGAGTGGCCACCCCAGTCTGTGGAAGTAGCAGTTTTTGGACCTTCAAGGAAAGATCAGGCTTGCTGGGTGTCCAATGGAAATAGACCAAGAATGACCATATGTTTAGTACTTTGATTCCCCACCCTTTCAAAGTAACATGACAGGTTTGCTCTGTGTGCAGGGATTTTCACTTGGAAGAATGGGTCCAAGTGAAAGGTTCCCCTTGGCAACAACCCCCATACCTAGTGTAAACTGAGCTCAATCAAATGGGAGATAGAAGTGTGTAGGGCAATCACTCTTCAATTGCAGCTCAAAGTGGAACCGGACTAGCATAGACTCCTCATACCTCCAGTGTGTAGAGTGCTGTGACATTGGAAAAATTGGTGATATATAACTTATATAACCCAGTGTGTTTGTCATATAATCCAGGAAGATGATTCAAAATATTTTACTTTTGTGTTCCTATGGGTTTTTGTTTTCCTGCCTTATGCTTGTTCTTTGTTTGCTGGATTTTTGCTTCTGTTGGTATAGTTGGTTTCATGGGGATTGATTTTGTCACCATACTACCAACAAAGGAAACCTGAGTCGTGTATATCCCACAGACAATCAGATGGATTCTGGGCTCCCACTTAACTGTAGCCCCAATCCAAGAACTGTTAGTTTTGATTCAATGGTCCTGTGTGATACTCGCCTTTAAAAAGTGGTCAGTGAAGTTAAGGGTACTACAGCAAAGTGTGGTGAAGAGAGCAGTTGATGGCCTGCTATCAATCAGAATGGTGTCTGGCATCTTAAAAGCATATATTCAAACAAGCAGCCATCTAAGTGAAGACTCAGCAGTACACATGGAAGAAGCACACCAGCTTGCGTCATCCAAAGGTGATAATAACAGATCTGAAATGTGATGAAGGGAAAATATCAGAGTTTAAATTGTGAACACCCCATTTGTAGAAGGCTATGGAGGACAACAGTGGGAGCCCAAAACCCATCAGCAGAGTATCTAGTCACAATAATTCCTGGTGGATCCCCTGTGACCACAGGAAAGGGTCTGGAAAACCTTTACTACCAGAAAGAGATCATTGTCATCTTGATTTTGCTGGACCTGGTTAGTTGAGCTCCACCTTGACCCAACCTGAATTTGTCTAGGTGCAAATGTTTCTTGCTTGTTGCATAACAAAAATTTCTCCCTTACCATTTGAAATACTGAGTGAGGTCTTTTCTTTCTTACTTATTATGTGTAATTTTGTCAGTGTATTATTGTTATTTTCTCGTTACCACTTTATTTTGTTTTTGTCCTTTATTGTTTCTGTTGGGTATTCCAGTTTGTGAAGCACAGACGGAGTAGATGCAGAGAGATCATAACTGATGCAAGGGTTTATAGGGGATGTGGGGGTGGGAGTAGAAGTCAGGGAGGTCCGGGGTATTGGGGAAGCACACAATGTATGCGGGATGGGGGAGTGAGCACTACAACTGTTTGTGATTATGTATATGAACTCATTTTAAAAGCAATTTAACCTTGAAAAATAAAGAAAATGTTCTTAGATTGATTGTGGTAATGATTGTATGATTCTTCATTCTATGATTGAACTAGTAAATTTTATGATATGTGGATTATGTGCCAGTAAAATTGTAAAAATAAAAATGCATACCCAGAGCCACACACACACATTTGTCTTCCTACACCTGCTCATGTAAAAGGCTTAAATAGAGTACTGACTAAAAAATAAGAGTATCCTCTACTTGAGTCGTTCTTGTTGTTAGTTGCTGTTGTGTTGGTTTCTACCTTTTGGATAACAGAACAAACTTTGTCCTGTGTCACTGTCAGGGTTCTTGACATGTTTCATTGCATTGTTTTAGTTATCGTGTAGATTTGTCTTATTAAAGATTCCTTCATTTTAAAAAAATTATAATTTGTTTCCCTTCATTTTTGATACCCTCTGGTTCACCAGGTGCAATGTTCTTTTCTAGCAATTGGTCTTTCCTGATGTTGTGTCCAAACTAAGCAAGCCTGTGTCTCACCATCTTTCTGAGGGACATTCTTCGATGTTGTAGTTCTGCAAAGATTGATGGATTGATTCTTTGGGCTATTAATTGATACCCAACATTCTTAACGAATAACCCGATTCTAGTGCATTAATTATTCTTGTTTTCCATCTTCTAGATTAGAGAATTAGAAAGTTGTGAAGTTGAGTTATTATGAATCATAGAATATCATCAATTGATTACCATTTATATCACAAGAATATAAGATGCTTTACAACTTCCATTACATCAACAAATGTTCACACAACATATATCATTTTGATATATACAATAACCTTATGGAAAATTGTACAACAGTATGTTGTAAGGCAAAGTGTATAATAACACTGATGCTGCAAAGTAAGACATATATCCAAGTGAAAGGATCAAAGAAAGACATGTACAGAACTCTCAAAGTTGTGTTATTCCTTTGAAAATTGAAAAACACTCAAAGATATTAACAGTAGAATGAGCAAAACTGTGTAAAATATCCGTGCAATGAAATACTACACATGAATGAAAAAGTATTATCAACTGTTTAGTGAGTGAAAGAAAAAAGGCAAAGAGCATACATGCTGAATGATTTCATCTGAATGAGATAGTGGGTAGGTACAACACATGAAAAATTAAGGAAGACAGACTAGGAATTTTTTCAAGGACAGGTATGTGGGATTGAGTAAATGAAATGAGAAATGGAGATCTTATCTGACCTCCTCAGGGGAGGAGGCTACTCAGGGGAGAAGGAAAATGCAGCTCCACCCAGTAGCCATAGGTCAGAAGTCTGGCATGCCCCCACCCTCAGTCCTTCCTTATTCTGACACCAACCCACCCACCAAAGAAACACTAATGTGCACTTCAGTTTGATAATCTGTCTCTTTACCCACACAGGACTCACACAGAACATTCACACTAAGCAGGATTGATTAGGGAAGTCAACAGGTGAACACCAGCCATGATCAGAAATCATTACAGATAAAGTCACTGACTCATGGCAACACCTCTCCTCAGCGAGCATTCAAGTCTCTCTCTAGTCCTCAGCACCTCGGAATTGAGACGCCAGGAAGCCAGTCCACATCTCTGCCTCACAGTCTCCTAATCACACCGCTGCTTCTCTTTTCTGTCTATGGCCAACTTGCCTCTGCTGCTAGTCTTGGCCTCTGGCGTGGACTTTTTTCCTTTGCAATGTCCCATGGTCTCTGTGCTGTAGCCTCTACTCCCAGCCTTCCCCACTTGAGACAGAGATCTCACATGTGCTCTACTGGGTTTTGTTTTTTTCCCTTCTTTGATGGTCCTGCATTTTTGTGCTGTGCTTGGAAAATGGCTCTTATATAGAGTGGAATGACGTTGATGGAGGTGTGCTTGTTCTCTTTCAGCTTTACTCCAAGAAAACAAAGAGAGGTGACTTGGTTCACATTCCTAGTAAGGTGGAGACTCAGAAAACTTCTCATCTTAATCCTGTAAATGTTACATAGGAGAGAACTCATTCCACAATGAAATTGTAATCAAAGCCAGAGGCCAGAATTCACAAAGCATCATATACGGGATTATGTAAAGCCATATTAATTCACTACACCTTAGGCACACGTAATTTAGTATACTCCGTTGATTCTGATTTCTGCAAATATTGAAAGTTTTGATGTCTGGAGAAATCTTATCTTTGTACATTCTGTGTTCCTTGTAAGGAAGGAAGAGGGACATCTACTTTGTGGAAACAGTGCAAGTCTTATGGCCTACAGATATTTTGTCTATTGTATGAGTGGGCAGGGCACCTGACTAATTATTTTCTGTCTCTTTAAATTTATTGAATAAATTTGAATGATGAATGCAGTCTCTCACCAAGTCTGTTTCTGTCATGTGCCATGTAGACTTTTGTTTAATAGACTTCAAATGCTATGCACAGTATGAAATTAACTTATATAAAGTAGGAAAGGTGTGAAAGGAAAGGGGCAGGGGAAATAAATCTATTTGCTGCTTGAAATATTAGGCTTGGGATTTTTCTTTTTAAAACTATTAAGATGGAGTGCTGCACCAATATTAGGCATGAGGAATGTAGAATTCGAAGGGTCAGGATCAATCTGGTTTGAATTGATGAGGAAGGAAGGTGGGGAGGAATGTGAGGAACGTCCCTTTGTGTTTTTTCCCTCCTGGGCAAGCTGGGGAAGCACTGAGCATATAAAAACCCAGTCCACCAGCCCCAACCTCACACAACTTTTCCCGCTGAGAGGAGGCATCCACTGCAACTCCAACCACAGGATAGAGACCCACTCCAGCCCAAAGCCAGTGAACTGGCCAGCCGCTTCCAACACTGCAGACAGTCCAGCACATCCAGACACGCTGCTCCAGGGCAAGCCCACTACAGACCACCAACTCGCCTGACCTCCAACTCCTGTCCTGTTGCACCTGTCCCCGCCTGCCACCACACATCTGCCACCAGCATGGGCTCTATTCTCTTCTCCTTGGCGTTCCTGCTCGCCTTCTACAGCTGGGTAAGCAAGGAAACCCCTGCCATGGCCACTGCTGCTGGGGGACTCAGAGCTGGGAAAGAGGTGGGTTCACACCTCAATCAGGCTGAGCACCCTGCTGACCACCACTTCTCTCTGCAGAGGGCCACCAGCAAGGGCTGCAATGGGCAGTGCCAGTGTGACCGCACGAAAGAGCCCAGCTGCCCTCCAGGTGTGAGAGTGGTAATGGACGGCTGCAACTGCTGCCGCATGTGCGCCAAGCAACTAGGGGAGTTGTGCGAGAAGCAAGACACCTGCGACATGATCCAGGGCCTCTACTGTGACCTTGGCACCCCTCCGAACCGCACGATTGGAGTGTGCAAAAGTAGGACCTGCAGCCACAACCCCTGTGCTACGTTGTGTCCAGCCACCTCCTTGCTCACAATCCCCACACCTCACTCCCCAAATCCCCAAATCTGAAATCAAATTTTAAATGCCACTAACTGCTCATCGTGCACATCCCTGATGCACTTACAGTTCCAGCTGCAGAGACCAAACTCACCTAACCCCTGTATCCCCTTCTTCTCCTTCAGGCGTAGTAGGTGCCCCCTGCGAATTGGAAGGGAAGGTGTACCAGAACGGAGAGACCTTTGTGCTCGCCTGCAAACTACAGTGCACTTGCATCAATCGAGACTTCTACTGCAGTATGCTGTGCCCAGAAAACAATGACCCTCCCAGCTCTGAGTGCCCCTTCTGGCGAAAGGTCAAGCCTCCAGGGGAATGCTGCGAGGTGTGGGCTTGTGAGAAGCCCAAGGAGCTCACAACAGTTAGCACTAGCCTTGAAAGTGAGTTGTCGCCCTCTAAGTCACTGTTGACATGTTCTCTTGCCCGCCACCCCGCCACCCTCCCACCCCCGTGTGATGTACTCCTGTTAGAAATAGTGAACCCATGGGATAATTCCTAACTTTGCCAAGAGGAGGAGAATGTGTTGTTCGCTTCGTAGCTGGATTTTGTGTGCCTTTCCCTTGTAGCTCGTCAACTTGAAAACACGGTTAGCCCAGACCCAACGATGATGCGACCCAACTGCCAGGTCCGGACCACAGAGTGGAGCGCCTGTTCCAAGACATGTGGGATGGGCATCTCCACCCGGGTTACCAATGACAACGCCAACTGCACGGTGGAAAAGCAGAACCGCCTCTGCATCGACAGGCCTTGCCAAGCTGCCGTGGAGGAGGAAATTAAGGTATCTTAATGTTCTGCTTGTATTCACTAATTTTTCTGAAGTGAGATGAATAGGTCCAGTGTTTAGGTCCCTTACAAGCCTTGTTATTAGAGGCACATCATCATTCCCAAATATCAAACCGTTGAGCTATTATAAGGGAATGGGATATCGTGTAATAGGAACCACCAGCTTCCTACTACAGAATCCTACAGCGTTAGTAAATGTGAGACATCCTAAGACAGGCTAGGTCTGGTTCTGGAAAAACTTGCAAGTGACACTCAAAACTCCTCTGCTCAAAATATAAACAAAAGTCAGACAAACTTAAGACTGTGTCTAGTAACACAGAGTTCCCACGGGCCACTCCTTTTGTAAAGTAAATAATCTCTTCTCTCTTGTCTTTCTTCTTTACAAGGAGCATCCAAGCCGCCAATATCACCCATCCCATCAAGGTTCGGCTGTTTAGCTGCACCAGTACGAAAACTGGCTCAAACAAGCCACACCTCTTGTAAGACCTGCGGAGGCTGCCCTGATGGCAGATACTGTACTGCTCATAAAAACCACCACCCTGCCCGGGGAACTTATGTGGCCTAATGAAAAAGTTGTGAAAAAGAACATGCTGTTCATCAAGACATGT